ATTCAAATGGAAATGAAAAGAGTGAGGGGCGTTGCATCTACACAGAGTCAGAAACGCCCACCTTCATCAGGTCGCGGTGATGCTCCAGCACGCTGCAGGTGGTCTGCCAGGTGTCCTGGTAACACTCCCAGGGGTCCACCCTTCACCAAACAAACAGGTAAAGAATGATGAGGACACAAATGCTGGTTTCAGTCTCAGCTGCCAATAAAACGTCCTGCAGATGTTTCACATTAAGAGCCTGCGAGGGAACGACAGGGTTCTTTACAATCATCTGGTTTTGACCGGTGTTATAACTTTTTGGGTTTCACGGCTTCTCTCTGGACATGAATCACCCGTGGCTTCGTTCACTCAAATTCAGCAACCTGAACCTAGTGTCCTGTTCTCAGTTTCAGCCACCGAAACCCCAAATCTCGTGGGCGTTACTTGTTGTTACTAGACTGTTGGTACAGTGACCTCACAGCAGCCATATTATCGTTCAGATAAATGCATTAAAAAGACATTACAGGAGCACTTCATGTTCCGGCTCTGGCCACTGAGCACCAGCACAGCTGCTTTGTCTCTCTGAGGGGACATTTGTTCTCTTCTTCTGTGGTTTTATTTGACGTTGGCTGTGTTTTCAACAAAAACGTGAAAACCACCGAGCTGACGACAGCGTATAATAAACAATAAACACAATGTGTTGATATCAGGGTTATTTCTATTGAATAATAATAATAACTGTCATGTTTCTACCTGCATGACGTCCACAACTCAGCAACTTATCTACCAAAAGTTTTGCTGCTTTTATGATTTACGGCCCCAAAATAAATGAATAAACAACGAGCGACATACTGGCATTTCAGAGCTTTTAATGTGAAACTCCTTGCAGGAAGTCCTGTCTCTAATATGGCTCAAATGTGTTTATTTCCAGAGTAAAAGCCTCTAAAGGGGGGTGGAGTCTCACCTGATCCAGTCAGAGCTCTGCACGGCCAGCTGACACATGGTGAGGCGATGTCTGCTGGACACGAGACCCTGCAGACACAGAGCAGCGCCGTCAGCACCGTCAGCCACGGCACTGTCAGCCACGGCACTGTCAGCCACGTTTTTCATGTTTAAAAAACATGAAAAACAAGCATGAAAGGAAACTCATCCTAAACGTGTGCAAACCAGGCTCTGTGACCCTGATCGCGCCCATGCTGCTGACTCCCAGTGAACATCTGAACCATTCAGCTCATCCTCCACCCACTCCACCCTGCCTCGGACGGTTCAGCTCAGGTGTTTAAACTCAGAACTAATATCCAGGTAACAGAAAGATGAGTTTTCCAACCAAAATAAGATCGAGATAAAAATAAGTCTTCAGCTCTGACTGATTATCCTCGTTAGATTTGAGATTCATCCATCGATCAGGCTCTTATCTTTTCTTAAGCCACAGTTTTCTGTGTCGTCTCATGTGTTTCACCCCTGCGAGGTCCTCCTCCCACCAAAAGGATTAAAAAACTTCAAAGTAATTAAGAGTCTTTCTGGTAGCTCATTAAAGGAAATGTGTGCCGTTCAGAGGGGATGGTGGGAAATCCAGATCAATGAGATATGAAAGCAGCCGGCCACGTCGTGTTTCCACCTGTGAATAAAGCCTGACGCACTGCTTTCTGTGGACAGAGAGGTTTGTGAGTCATCGGGGCTGACACACTAATAAGATGATAATCGATGTTAATAATCTCCATCGTTAACAATCCATCATTGGGATCATTCAGCTGCAGGTGACGATGCTGGAAAACAAACATTCATAACTGGAGCGAACAGCAAAGTGGATGAAACTGGATTTCTGTAGCATCTATTATTCATGTTGTGTGTTTCTGTAGAGGCAGAGCAAAAGTAGGACGAGACCTTCATTAATTCCTGCAGGAAGCAGAGTGGAAAGCTGCAGCTGCAGACAGCGTGATCTTATCTGTGCTCGACTCTAACATACGAAACACAGTCTGCACTCTGCAGGAGGATGAAGTCGCATGTTGAAGGCATCTGTCCGCAATACTAACAATAACCAAGATGTAACATCTGCTTTTCAGAAACCTTTTTACCATTCGTGGGGAGCAGAAATTGTTTGGTTCTAACTGGATGATTTATATTTCTGCGCAGGCCTGGCCTCATTCCAATCTGGTCCTCCTGGCGTTATGTTTCACAGCACTGCGTACGTGTTACCATCATTTTCAACGTGCAGTTTTATTTACTGAGGTTGGTTGCAGTTCTGGGAAAAACTGTACCTAGATTTCAAGATTTAAATTATTTATTGCAGAAAAGTCCAATGAAAAAAAGCGACACATCTGGATCACAAACTGTATATAAATGATGGAAGTAGCCACGTCACAAGGACATTTTCTTGTTTGTTGGTTTTTAAGCTTCACGTCAACATTTTGGCCATTTATGTTGTTTTTATGGTGCCAGTAGTGATGGGGCAAAATATTAAGTTATTAGCTAATGCTAGTTAGCAGGCTACATCCAAGCACAGGATTTCACTGTGCACCAAAACTGCAGCTTAGCCGTCTTGATAGGTCTGTGAGTACAACGACCTCACAGCAGCCAACGGCACAAACGCCGTCCAGAGCTCCATTTCAGAGGCTACAGTTGGCTCAGATGAAGCCTAGCATAGCCTAGCAGCAGCTACAGCCGCCCGTGTCACCATCCACCTGTTAGTCAAAGAGGCCACGCCCCTAACAATGCAAACATGTGTATTTGGTTTATTCTAGCTGAAGGAGCTGTACGGGTTTTATCCTCAACAGGGCTGAACTCTCATGATGTTGACTTGAATAATTTTTGTCACTTTTCAGAAAAACTAAAAGACCTTCATCAACTAATAACGCCAGCCTATAAGGAAAACACAGCTCTGCACTGAAGCTAACACACAACACAGCAACAACAA